CGGATTAACGGACTAGTTATGCCCGTACTTCTAGTGAGAATTTTCTAGGCTATTACCGATTGATGCATAATGACTGATAAATGTCTAGAAGCTTGGTCTCTGAGATTTTGTTTAGTTCCTGCGTTTTCAAAACCTCTCACCGAGATTTAGCCTTTGTTTTGTTTGAGGTCAAACAAAAGACTAAGTCTGTAGAAATTGATAACACCGCATTTTGACCATTTTTATGGATCACTTTAATGTCTTTTACAGGTTTTTTACTCCATTATCAAAGGTTTTCAAAGGATTTCTATGTTTTCGGATTTTAAAAGACTTTTCAGGTAATTTCGGATAAAGAGGCACAAATTGGAACAAAACGACTCTTTTGGATAAATGCAGACCGTCAGAACTCTCATAGAGAGACGAAGACCTTCTCACCGTCTGATCACCCTCAAAATTGGACAACTTACAGAAGAATCAACCAGCTTTCAAATGCACATGGTATGGAGACATTCCAACAGTTGGGTCTCAAGATATTCCATTTGCCCCAGAGACACTCGAAGACGGCCAGCAAGTCACGCGACCGCGGCCACCAACCTATCCACCGCAGTCACAAGCATCACGACCGTGGCCAAGCCTCTGTTTCCCGCGGTCACGTTACTCCCGATCGCGGCCGGTGAACTCTGATTAAAAGCCCATATTTCTGAAGCCCAAAGTCATTTCTCTGCCTCAATTCTGGAACCCTAGAGACCATGGAGTATTGAAGACTATAAATACTTGTCATTTAGGTCGTTTTTAGTCAGGACCTTCATATTTTTACAGACACACTTTTTCCTTCAACCGTTTTATGCAATTTTTAGAGAAGATTGTTCAACTTTGAGTTATTCAATAGAGAAGCTTTCTTTCATATCTTTTCTTTACTGTTCTTGATTATTTTTATTAAAACCAATGATGATGTCGACCTTAGCCATGTCTGAGTAGATCCCGAGTTGGGCTTAGGGTTCTCGAAAGGGGCTCTCATAATCGACTAAGACATCTAAGTTTATAGATCTAAGATTTTAACTTTGTTCTCTGTTTATTCTCATTCTTATTGCATGTATGCTTGATTGAGCACCTCGTATCTGATCTAGATAGTTAGTGTTGCGAAAGTTTCATTAAGTATCCGACCTAGAATGAAACAGGAGATTTTTCCATAGGAGTGGAAACCTACCTGCGGCGAAATCGTGAATACTGACGAGTCCTGTACAGCTCTTGCGTTCTCTCCCTTCCAGGGCCAGAGAGAAACAGTTGGTTATGATCCCTAAACAAAATCAGCATCCATATTCGACCTTAAGTATTTTTCAGGAATGTTTAACACAAAACTATGATGATTTAGACCTGCACGCTTCTACACTACGCATGATAGCTCATATGTGGTTAGCACTAGACTAGGCGGTAGCTAGAGTACTTGCACTACGAACTCCCACCAGAGGACTTCTATTCATGGAGATTCTTTCTGACAGGATATACTAGCTCATTTTACTTGACCTTAATATTGATATCTAATTTTCTCATCATTAACTTTAGGCAGGCATCGAGATATATATCTAGGACGTCTTTTACCCTCATTTTTTACCACTTTTTGTCGTCCTAGATGGCCAGTTCATCTTTATCTGGTACCATACCCTAAACCCAAAACCCTTGTTTTCAATCCTCATTCATTCTCTCTTTATTTTATATCAGCAGATATGTGCAAAAACGTCGGAGAGAAGAGGAGCGACGCAGTTTTCAGTCACTCACGAGGAAGACTGAATGGAATTGAGAAGGAAGAGTATCAGAAACCTTATTAAGCTTTACAAGACCGATTTTTATTGGTAATTTCGTGCTCTCTATGACTCTATATTTAAAGGTGTTCCCTCTTTCAAAAAAAAAAAAGAGAGAAGTGAATCAAAGAGAGGGAAACAAAAAAAACCTAATGAGTCTTAGATTGTCGAAATTTTTGGAGCAAAAAGCAACCACTATTCGTTTGAAGAGCTATGGTTTTGAAAGATTTACAAAAATCTAAGTCTAGAGAAGTTAGGAGAGAACCTGAGGAAGAAAACCAGAAATCTATGGCAAGAACAAAGCGACTGAAAACTGTGGATATCAACAGCTTCACTCTCTCTTCCGGTTTTGCATAATATCTTGCATCCTCTAGATCTTCAGATAACCCATAAACACTTTAAGCCTTACCCCTAGAATAACCCTTTTGACACCTAGCCTAGATTGCCTTGCTTATACTTTCTTTGATGAGAACCACCAAAAATTTTTAATGAATGTTAAGAGCCAGTTGACTGGAAGTTAGATCTTAGTGCAATATATTTCCGCATGACGGATTAACGGACTAGTTATGCCCGTACTTCTAGTGAGAATTTTCTAGGCTATTACCGATTGATGCATAATGACTGATAAATGTCTAGAAGCTTGGTCTCTGAGATTTTGTTTAGTTCCTGCGTTTTCAAAACCTCTCACCGAGATTTAGCCTTTGTTTTGTTTGAGGTCAAACAAAAGACTAAGTCTGTAGAAATTGATAACACCGCATTTTGACCATTTTTATGGATCACTTTAATGTCTTTTACAGGTTTTTTACTCCATTATCAAAGGTTTTCAAAGGATTTCTATGTTTTCGGATTTTAAAAGACTTTTCAGGTAATTTCGGATAAAGAGGCACAAATTGGAACAAAACGACTCTTTTGGATAAATGCAGACCGTCAGAACTCTCATAGAGAGACGAAGACCTTCTCACCGTCTGATCACCCTCAAAATTGGACAACTTACAGAAGAATCAACCAGCTTTCAAATGCACATGGTATGGAGACATTCCAACAGTTGGGTCTCAAGATATTCCATTTGCCCCAGAGACACTCGAAGACGGCCAGCAAGTCACGCGACCGCGGCCACCAACCTATCCACCGCAGTCACAAGCATCACGACCGTGGCCAAGCCTCTGTTTCCCGCGGTCACGTTACTCCCGATCGCGGCCGGTGAACTCTGATTAAAAGCCCATATTTCTGAAGCCCAAAGTCATTTCTCTGCCTCAATTCTGGAACCCTAGAGACCATGGAGTATTGAAGACTATAAATACTTGTCATTTAGGTCGTTTTTAGTCAGGACCTTCATATTTTTACAGACACACTTTTTCCTTCAACCGTTTTATGCAATTTTTAGAGAAGATTGTTCAACTTTGAGTTATTCAATAGAGAAGCTTTCTTTCATATCTTTTCTTTACTGTTCTTGATTATTTTTATTAAAACCAATGATGATGTCGACCTTAGCCATGTCTGAGTAGATCCCGAGTTGGGCTTAGGGTTCTCGAAAGGGGCTCTCATAATCGACTAAGACATCTAAGTTTATAGATCTAAGATTTTAACTTTGTTCTCTGTTTATTCTCATTCTTATTGCATGTATGCTTGATTGAGCACCTCGTATCTGATCTAGATAGTTAGTGTTGCGAAAGTTTCATTAAGTATCCGACCTAGAATGAAACAGGAGATTTTTCCATAGGAGTGGAAACCTACCTGCGGCGAAATCGTGAATACTGACGAGTCCTGTACAGCTCTTGCGTTCTCTCCCTTCCAGGGCCAGAGTGGAAACCTACTGGTCAGGGTTGCGAGAAACAGTTGGTTATGATCACGACAGTGACGTAGTCATACCGCCGTACTCTAGCTCTAGAACCCTATATTTTGATATCCGTCAATCCCAATCTATAAGTTCTAGTGTTAAAACCGATTATGATACCTATAGAGTTCCCAAAAGCTCAGCGTTTTTAGCCATAGTTTACAAACTAATTGTTTTTTACTTGCTCATTTAGATCTGCATTTTATTTACTTTAGTTCGATATTTTGCTTGTTTCATTCGATTTTCTATTTGTTCTTTAGGATAGATTTATTTGCTTTCTTTTGTTTTAGTTTAATCCGTGACAACAACCAACCTCTAAAACCAATCTAGTCTAGACATAAAGTTAGAAACCGTAGAAGAATACCAGGCACACAAACCTCTGTGGATTCGATCCCTAAATACTACAATTGATTAGCTGTGCACTTGCGGCTTTCATTTGTTTTTATTAAGGGTAAAACTTGTTCCCTCACGCAGTTGACACGCATCAAGTTTTTGGCGCCGTTGTCGGGGATTTGTTTCGCTGCCTTTGTTATTTTTCTTGTTCTAATTTCTGTTCTAGACACCTGATCTCTAGTTCTTTCTTAAAGTTTACTGAATTATCTTTTCCTTCTTTTGTTTTTCTCTGAATTGCATGAATACCAGGCGCAGACCTGTAGAAAACATTCCAATTCTAGACGAGATAGATAGACACGAAAGAGAACTTCGAAGACTTAGAAGAGTGCAAGGAATGGCCGACGACGACCAGCCTAGAGGTCCTGTTAACCGAGCTTTAAACATGGATCAAGATGCGTCCGAACATGGAGAAAACAAAGCAAACAATCACAGAGAAGGTGATCATGCTCGACAAGATGGAGAAGAGAATGAGGTTCCTCTAAGAAACCCTCAAAACCAAGAGAGAGAAGAACGTGAAGACCTTGATGCACCTATTAATGCAGCCGATGGTGATAACCAGGGAATGCAGGAGAACGGACGCGTTAACCGCCCTGTTCAGCAAGCAAATCAATACCGAAGACAAGCCAGGAACCATCGCATAGCTGATTTCGATGCCCCTACTCAGAAGTTTCAGAACCGATCCGCGATTCTTGTACCATTTCCGAATCGGAATGAGTTTGAAGTCAAGCCTCAAATCATCTCTTTGGTGAAACAAAACCAATTCCATGGAGTTCCTTCTGAACATCCAATGGACCATATCGAGCTCTTTGAAGAAATCTGTAGCATGATGAGGACAAACCAAGTTCCAGCAGACTATTAAAGTGTAGGTTGTTCCCTTTTTCATTAACAGATAAAGCTCCCCGTTGGTTGAAATCTTTGCCTGCAAGATCGATTTCTAATTGGGAAGAATGTAAACTGCTTTTCTGAACCACTTCTATACTAAGGCAAGGTCAAACTTGCTGAGAACCAAGATCCCAAGCTTTCAGAATTGACCTACTGAACCTTTCTATGAAGCCTGGGAACGTTTTACGGAGTATGAACGGGACTTCCCTCACCATGGATTTCCTGGATCAATCTTGCTGAGCACATTTTACCGAGGTTTGCAACCAAAATACAAACTTTCGGTAGATACAGCTAGCAATAGAGATTTTGGACAAAAGACGATAGCACAAGGAAGAGCCCTCATCAAAAATTTGGCTCAAGCCAATAGCAATGATTGTCCTGAATACGATCGCTCGATAAAAGCAAACCGGAACAGACAACAAGGAGATAACCGAATTGAAGAACATGATGAGTCAGCGTTTGAAAAGCAACAATCACCCAATCCATGCTTGTGAGACCAACAATGGCGTAGAAGACGAAGGACCTGGTGATATTGATCACATTAATCCTGCCTTTCAAGAAGAAGAAGTAAACAATGTAGGAGCACAAGCACCATATCCAAATCGTTTCAACAATGGCTTCAACAACAACTTCCGGAATGCAAATTACAACAATCTCTCTTACCGGAACCCAAATGTGGAGAATCCTCAAGATCAGCACTACCCACCGCAGCAAAGATCCTTCCAAAACAAGTTCCAATGTCAAAATTTCGGAGGAACATGAGCTTATCAGCCGAGACAGACATATACCTATCAAGGTACGGGTTTTAATAATCAATTTGTACAACAGCAAGGAGTCACAACGAACCAGCTAGCTTCGCAAATCGGAAGACTTTAACAGTCCATCCAACAACTTGTTATGACAAACGAGAAAGCATCTAAAGACATGAACGTAAAGGTTGACTGCATGTACAATGACCTGAACGGGAAGTTTGAAGCTTTGTCTTCACACGTCAAAAAGCTAGACATACAAGTTGCCCAAACAGCCGACTCTATGAAGAGACAAAGTGGAGCTCTTCCTGGAAGAGTTGAAGATAACCCCAAAAGATTTTGCAATGCCATAACCACGCTGCCCGAAGAAGAAGCCAGAACCGATGGAAAAGATGAAGAAACCCCAATCTTTGTACCACTTTACAAGGATGTTGATGCCAAGCAGCCACCATTCAAGGTACCTCAACGTTCACCGTTCCAAAGGCTTACAAAAACCGACGATCCAGGACGTTTTGTTTTCCAATTTTTCATTTCAGGAATCAAGTTCACAGACTGTCTATGCGAGTGTGGAGCCAATGTCAACATCATGTCAAAGACATTTGCCGAAAAATTGGGCATAAAAACCTTAGGGACATCGACGCTCAAGGTTATCTTTGGAGATTCATCTTAAAAAGATATTGAAGGGGCGATTCATGATCTACAAGTTCTAGTAGGGGACAAGATTGTTCCAGCAGATTTCCAAGTTCTGAAAATGGATCAAGACAAGGAGAGACCACTAATATTCGCGAGACCATTTCTTGCTACTGTAGGAGCAGTAATCGATTACGCAAACCGGCATGCTGTTTTCCTCAATGTAGATCGCAGGAAGTTTTATCCGAGTGTCCTAGATGATTTTCCAAGTAAAGGAAACTGGCCAAAAGAGAAAGAAAAGGAGAAGCCAAGAGCTTTTGCAAAGATCAAGATCATCATTCCACCAGATGCAACAGAGACTAGTGAGGACCAAATCCAGGAGTTGATTGAGAACACAAAAAGGATTTTAAACAACGTTAAAGTCCGAAACAAGAGTAAAGGAAAGAACATGGCGCCTCAAGGAGAAGAAGTTAAACCTCCAGCGACCGGAAATGATAAAGGCACATCAAGTGGAGTGCCATTTAAATCAGCCTGATCTTTCGAGCCTACGTCGAGCTAAACAACTTAAAACAAAAACGCTTAATGGGAGGCAACCCATTTAGGTACTCTTACATTAGCTTTCTTTTCCTTTTACAATTTATGTTTTCTTTTCCTTTTAAGTTTCAGGTATTTTTATAAAACAAAAACACAAAGATTGTCCACTCTGATATCTACATCGTCTGCTAATCTATGCAGCTTCATAAGAAGTGTTTGCACCATAAGTTCGGGCTTGTTGTCTTGAGAGGTTGTGGATGATTTTGGAGCAGATTGGAGATTCATATGGGCGTTATCTTGTGCTCCAAGTTGATGATTAATCTCAGCTGCATTAACTGCTTCGCAGACATTACAGAACGCTGATGATTTTTGAGAAAAAATTTCACCATGCCTTTAAGTTCTTCAATTTCCTTATTATCATGGGAAGTAGAACGTAATGTCCTTCCTTGATCTGGACAATTTTTTCTGCTGCTTGCAGCAAGATTATTAATCAAGATGTAAGCTTCTTCCACAGTCCTTGTCATGAAGTTTCCATCGCTTGCTACATTTAGGGGTGCCTTAGATGTCCATTCAAGACCTTCATAGAAAGTGTTCAAGATGCATGTCTCTGTAAAACCGTGGTGAGGACATTCCCTAATGTAGCCTTTATAATGATCCCAAGCTTCATGAAAAGGTTTGCCTCCTTTTTGTTGGAACCTATAAGTCTTGTCTCTAAAGAATTTTAATCTAGAGGTGGTGTAGAAATGGTTAAGAAAAGCAGCCTTGCATTTGTCCCATGATCTGAGTGAACCAGGAGACAAAGACTTAAACCATGCACGTGCCTTATCACAAAGAGAAATGGAAACAACTTGCACTTTATGTAATCTGCAGGAATTCTGATCGATTGCTTGGTGCTGCAGATTTCTTCAAAATCTTCGAGATGGTCCATAGGGTTCTCCGATGCATCGCCATGGAACTGGTTCTGCTTAACCAATTTTATGAGCTTCGGGCTAATATCACAGTCTACGTTGATGGATTGTAGACTAATGAGAGAACGGTTCTCATAGAAAGCATACGGAGTGTTATAATCTCTTAGAGTTAAGCAAGGAGCGTTGTGGAACCGAACGTGCTCATCAACGTTTTGCTGGACGTGGTGGTTATCTCTAAGCCTATCTAAACTTTGCAAGTGTCTATTGTTTTCGCCCATCTCAGTATTATTTATATGTATATATATAATTTTTCGGTTGGTTTGTTTTTTTTAGTTAATTAATTAATTTATATATATATATATTTTTCGTTTTTTTAGTTTATATATAATAATTGTTTTTAATGAAATAATAGAATAAGATTTAAAAGAAAATGAACTAGAGAACGTACCTTAGACTCGATCCAGACCTGAAACTCGTACGCAAGGTTAAAGGTCCCCGACAACGGCGCCAAAAACTTGATGTGCTCATGTTTTAACTCTAGTTTTCTGGAAGCGCACATATATACGTTAGTACTTAGGGGTCGATCCACTGAAGACCAAGTAACTGCAATACGAGTTTACTTAAGATGAGAACTGAGCTAAGATGAAAATATGGGTGTTTGTTTGGGGGTGGTGAATAGTGACAAAAATAGCAAATAATAAATTTAAAAACAAGTAAATAATAAGACTAAATCAATACGAGAAGGTGTTGGGCGTTAGGGAATTCACCGGGAATCATAGACTAGCTAACAAGAGAATTAAACATAGAGTTTTCTATAGATGTGTTCCTGAAATCAAACCCAGACTAACCTACTCACGTAGTATTAATCACAAATCAATTCATTCAGATTTACTAAACTCCCATTCAGTTCTCTAAGTGTCTAGACAAATTAGTTTGATAATTTCACAAAACGCTTTAGATCAACTCTTGCCGTCTAAGAGAAATTGTTCATCTATATAGGGTTAATCGATTTGACAACACTTTTGGTGAGTAAATCAACCTAATCGCAGTAGCTAGATGGTCAATCCAAGCCCCATAATGATAACACTGTATTTTGACCACTTTTATGGATCGTTTTGAAATATTTTTTTCTATGTTTTTAATTGCTTTTAAGTACTTTTATCATATTTTCTAGTATTTGTAGTTCCAAGACTCTTTTCAGGTAACTTAAGGAAAAGCTTAACAAAATGGATAGAAGAACAGATTTCAGGTCAGAGTCAAACCGTCAGAAGTTCACCCCCGATTGAAGGCCTTCTCACCGTCTGATCCAGCTCAAATTTCGAGATCTCAAAGATGGAAGTATCAGCTTTCCAGCACACTTTACAGCTTGGCAATCCAACGGTTCAATCAAAAGATACGCAAAGAGCAAGATGTCCTGTAAACCAGCCGGCAAGGGTTTCCACCCGCGACCAACAGGCCATTCCCCGTGGTCACAACCATCCCGACCGTGGCCAGCCACCCATTCCCCGCGGTCACGCACATCCCGACCGCGGCCAGCTAACTCCGAGTTCGAAGGCCCATTTCTGAAGCCTGTATCATTTTTCCAGCCTCAATTCCGGAACCCTAGACACCAGAGAGTATTGGAGACTATAAATACATATCATTTAGGTCATTTTTAAAGAGAGAAGAAGAGAGACGAAATACTTTACAGAAATTTTACTTTAAGCTTTGTTTTTAGGTTTTAGGGAGAGAGAGATCTATCTCTTGAAACCTTGTTCTTTCTTTTTTCAATTTCGGTTTCTGTACTACTTTTTGATACTATGTTTTTGATTTCTTCTATCATGTCTGAGTAGTTTTATTGTTGGGTCTAAGGGATTTTCGATGGGGATATATGGGTTCGATGAGGATTCCATGAGCTATTGAGCCGAATCTTAGAACTTTTTCTTCTAAATTCGTTTTTACTTTACTGCATGAGAGTAGCGTCATGAACTACAATCTGATCCAGATGCTTGGTGACACGAAAGTGTTCATCCGGTGTCAGATCTAGTTTGGGAGAGCAAAACAAACATAGGAGTGGAAACCTACCTATGGGCGATTTGTGAATGCTGACGAGTCTTAAACATAATGCACCTCTTCTTTTCCAAGGCCAGAATGGAAACCTACTGGTCAGGGTTGAGAGAGATAGTTGTCTATGATCACGACAGTGGCGTATTCATACGTCCATGACTCCAGTTCGAAAAGTTTAAGTTAATATCTTATCAAATTTACTCTCTAGCAATGTTTTGAATCGTTCATACCCCTGAGAAAACTTCTCTGAACCCCAGCGCCTTCTTTTTATATATTTACACCGATTTTTATTCAAGCTTTAGTCTAGTATCTTTACTCTTTCAATCGATTTTTACTTAGCAATTAGGTTTAGC